GTCCTGTTTTGCCACAATTATAACACGTTTGGCTAGCTATTGGTACTCTTGTGCTTGTGTGTTCTCCTTGCATTCGAATCCTGCAGGTGGCCATTACATGTCCTCTTTTTCCACAATAATGACATATCTTTAGTTCTGTGTCTGTTATTGTATTTCTTTCCGTACAGCTGGTAATTTGGGTATCTTGCGTTGCACTTTTCTTCGGAGCTTTATCTATTGTGTCTGCTATTTCTTTTAATTGTATAAGTGATGTTGGTGGCTTGTTCGGCGGGTTTGTTAACCAGTAGTAAGTGTAATAATTTGCCTTTGTCAATCCTTCGCTGAAAATCCTTACAAATTCTTGTATCTCAAATGTATGCGTGTAATTGTGGTATAATACTTGTAAATCGTACAAGTATTCCTTGACTGACTCATCTTGACCCTGTTTTCTGTTTTCGGCTTTTTTCTTGAGTGCCCTTTGGTAATCTGTATCCTCAAATTCCTCTGAAAAATCTTTGACAATGTCTTTCCAGCTGTTGTTTTGGTGGTCGCGCTTGTATTCCTGAAACCACAGGTTTGCGGCTCCATCTAAATACGTTTCAAAATAAACAATTTTCAGCTTTTCGTCCCACCCATTTGCAATCGCTGATCTGTCATATGTTCTTAGGAACTCGATCGCGCTGGTTTTACATGGCTGGAAGGTTTGAGGGCTGATAAACTGAGGCAACTTCGCCTTTTTCTCCACTGTTATAGCATCAGTTATTGTGGTGTTCGCCATTATATCCGGTTGATCTACTTCCTCTTTAAATGGTTGCCTGTGTTTTGGTGCTTCTTGAAGGGTATAAGGTCTGGTGGGCTACCAAAAACACTGTCTTTTTCGTAGTCTGTTTGATTATTTGCTTGGTTTTCTATTTCACTTTCAATTTGTTCTAACCTGATACTGGTTGACCCTGGTGGGGATCTTTGAAGTGGCCTTCTTGACTGGGAAAATGAGTATTCAAATCCTGTGCTCCTATGAGACGGTCTGAATGATTCTGTTGGTGTTGCAGCTGCTGCGTTCTTTAGCCTCAAATTATATTTGGTTTTGTCTGGCATCTATTCTTGCCACAATGGCGACGGTACCAACTATGTGTCACAGTTTTTAAATCTACGAGTTTTCAAATCTACGTGTATCTTCTCCACCTTCGCCACGCTGTCGTAAATTTCTCTTGTCGACGTACCGCCTGGTGACGTGTTTGGGCGTCGGCTTTCTTCAAAGGCGCCTTACGACGTCGGTTCTTGCGCGTCGGTTTCGAGACGGCGCCTCCACCAAATATGTCACAACTACCCGCTTTACGGGGGTGACATGGGGGGTTTGTAGCTTTGGGGGTTGATAGAGAGAAACTCGCTGAGGTTATATAAAAATATAGATATATATTTTCCCAAATATAACCTTACATGTACGCTAATCCTATAAGATACATGACCCTTCGAACACTGGGGTCCTTATAGGGAGCCACACGTCAATGCTGCTTGGGGGACTGTAGGTTAGTTTATCGTCACCCTTATGCCTTGTCCAGAGGGGCGTTCCCAACGAGAGGTAATTGCACTGGACAACGATAAGGCTGAAGATACCCAGAGGGGCGTTCCCAACGAGAGGTACTTGCACTGGGGAGACTTAATTCCAGAGGGGCTTTTCCAACGAGAGGTACTTGCACTGGTTTAAGTCTGCCTTTGCTGCGGCTTGCAGCGCAATTTATATTAATTTATTGCTGAATTGCAATAAACATTCGATCGAATCGGCAATTAAATTAATAAGGTTGAATACCGGGTCCTCCTTTCCTAAGCAGCTAGTTGACAATATCATTCGAATCACTACTTTTACAACAGCTAAAGCAATCGCCCAGAGTTCAGACAGGAAAAAGAAAAATAGTTCCGGTGCTGAGGTTATAACAACTTCAGAAGCAGTTGCGAAGTTAAAAGAAATCGAAAACAAACAGCAGATAAAACACTTGAAAATTAAAAAACCAAAGAACAAAGAAATACACACTTAGAAAATTTTTTCATTGTCATAGCTAATTTTTCTGCTGCCGTAGCCAAAAATTTTGGCTACATTAGGGGACAGCCAAGATCTTTACTACCGCCGAAAAAATAACTTTACTGGCACCGTTTATTTGCGGTAGCAAAGTGACTTTATAAAGAATTTACTCACAGTTTCTACAAGGTCACTTTGCTGGCATAGAAAAGCTACTTTGCTGTCGTAGGAAAGTAACTATGCTGTCCTAGAAAAGAGGTTATACACCCTCAAAAACATCCTTTTTTGCTATTGAAAAGTAGATTGCTAAGACAGAAAAGATATTTGTTGTTGTTATTAGAAATGCTTCCTGAAATAGGAAAGCGTTTGTCTCAGAACAAAAAATTTCTTGCCAGAATCAGCCAAGTGTTTTATTAGCCATGGGAAGTTATGTTAGCAAAAATATTTTGCTGGAAATCTTTGGAAATATGTAGTAGCGCGTCCATCATAACAAAACCAGGAGATAAACAAACTCTATTTAAACCCCTAAACTTTCATTACCTGATCTGAAATAATGTCAATTAATGAAAAGTTTGGCGCTAGAGTTGTTTCTGCTAGTTTTGATGGATGCGCTGGCACCATTTCCAAAAAGATTCCCAGCGACCGACACTCGACTTGACTCGACAGCATCCACGATCCACACCGTACGGCGTTAGCTACTAAACTAAAATGGAAGAAAATGAACACGAAACATATTTTATCGGTTATTTTTGGACCCGAAGAAATCACCGAAATGTTCGAATGGTATTTTTAGTTAAGTTGTTTGGCTAGGGTAGCAAAAAACATTTTTTTTTGCTGCAACAGTAAAGTATCTATCTATGTTAGAAAAGTTCTATTTCGGAGAAGCAGAAATATTTTCATAAAATTTTAATTTTGCTATAACAGCAAAATTTGGTTTTGGAATAAGAAATATCTTTGCAGTTTCAATAAAGTAGTTTCAGCAAAGTGGTCTTTTCTGTCGAAGCAACATTGCTACCTCTAAAACATTTGCCACTGTAACAGCTAAAAAAAAACCAGCAAAGAATTTTCTGCTAGGACTTTTCTCAGTGCAACAGATACAAAAGAATAAACAACCTATCGATGAATCAGAAGACGAAGAACAAGATGATGAGGTAGAGGCCGCAGAACCAGAACTCAGCGATGATAGTTTGATAGATGTGGAAGAAAATTAGTTCATGACTGCGGCTACAAAAGATGTGAAGCAAGTTGAAATCGGGGACTAGCTAATAGTGAAGTTTTGTCCAAGAAAAGTCTTCAAATTTTATGTCGCCCTAATTACAGAAACAAAACCTTCTATTGAAGGCAAAGTTGCACGAAAAATTGGAATCACAAATTATTTTCATTGGCCAGATGTCGAAGACAGGTCCATATTGCCCCCAACCCCTAACGCGTTGGCTTGGGTATCCACGCGAATTTCGCCATCGCACATGGAGCCAAACTTTAATCGTCGAGAAAAACTTCGCCGCGAATGCGAAACTTTCAACTTTCGCGTTGGTTTGGGGGATCTTTATTAGGCCTGTGTGGAACAAATCAAAATCTGAAGCCCCCCACCACGCCAAATCACCAGTTGTGACGTATGAGTCGTTTCTCGCCTTGACATAAGCTATTTTCTTGTTCGAAAAAAGGACGGTTCTAGAACGGTGCAAAACAATCGCACAGTTCATTAATCAACGAAATGACAACGGCTCAGCTTTCACAAATTTCAATAATAAACTGTGCGATTGTTTTGTAGTACAATAGTTGTATTCCTTTCACACCTAGGAGGAGCCCCGGAACAGTTCCGGGGCTTCACGCGCTTATTCCTTTCGAAAAGTGTTTGTTGCACCACGCATCTGTTCCCTGTAAATCGGGGGCTACTGAACACGGGAGCGAGTAGCTCGAGTGTTTCAAACTCTTGCAAGGAATACAACTATTAATGGCCATTTCCACCAACTATTTTAAGGAAGCCCTAACGATAGGTATTTCTTAAACTGACATTTTTGCATGTAAAAATGTCAATTTAGGGAATACTTATCGTTAGGGGTCCCCTAAAATGGTTGGTGGAAAAGGCCATAATTATCATTCTAAAAAAACTCTTTTTTTAGATCTCGTTTTCATCTTCCTCTTTTGCTGTTATGTTAATAAAAATTAAATAATAATTTTTTCATAAATTTTAATTCTTCTACTACTACCGCTAGTGCAAACGGCTAACGACTTAGTTATGACGTCTGAAATGGTGCGACATCAATAGGGCGGCGATTAGACCAACAACGAGGCCGATAAGCAATCCTTTAGTAGTTTGTATTAAGCCGGAGTCTCATGCATCCGTTTTCCGACGTCCGATGTCCGAAAAACCTCCTATTTTCAGACATAATCTTATATGATGATGTTAGAATAGAAGGTTTTTCGGACGTCAGAAAACGGAGGCATGATACTCTGGTCTTATCCTTGGGGAACAGCAGTGATTGAACTACTTTTTCAAACACCCTGTGGTGTAGAAAGTTGAAACTGTTGATGATTTTATATCGAATTGAAAAGCCAATAATTAAGAAGCTCTATTTGAAGTATTATTCCTATTTTTTTGAAACTAGAGGCCCTAGAGGGTGTTTTTTTCTGAACAGAGCATTTTTAGCTCTACTATGCGATGTAGTTAGTGCACAAATAAAGTAGCCGAAAGAAAACGCTTAATCTGCAGGTCCCGCACCGGTGCGTATCACTATCTTTGTCGTTTTACCTGAGTATAACAAGGAAACCAAATAAAACGATAAATAAAATATTTGGGCGCGTTCTTTTATTCAGCAATGCATCCATCTGCTGCCATCATAATAAGACAGACATTCCTATTTTCTATGAGCTAGACAAAGAAAGGCTGTTTACTGATGGATCCACCGCTGAATAAATGAAAGCGCCATTTCCCATTTTATTATCTGACAGTTGACAGAAATATAAATACATGACTTTTGTTGACAGTGAATTGTTTTGATTTTATATTTTACACTAATAATAAATTGCAAAATTAAAATTGTTTTATTTTTCAATTGAAATCATTTTATATTTACTTATATGTCGAATTATTCAATTTTTAAATATAATATATAATAAGTTTCTGTGAGCAGTGATGATTAAAAAAGGATTAGCAGGCTTTTTTGGCTGATGACTCAACAATTTTTCCCAAAGGATCCACAATCCACATCCTTTTGAAGATGCGTATTCCTTGAAATTTTATTTATTTTAAAGTAGTGATTGGTAATAATGCTGGTAGCTGGATTGCGAATAGTGCGTGGACCTGATTGGAGTTGGAACAACCAAGGTAAGATCAATTTATTGACAATAATTGAGTTTCTATTGCCACCACTATTGTTGAGTGAGTTGCATATTTGTGGTATTCTACTGTGCTAAATAATACACTACACAAATACTTAAAGATAAGGTAACTTCTAATATTATTATACCTAGGAGGGTGTCTAGCAAAAAGAGATTCTGAAAACTCAATGTGAAGAAGCTTGTCCGTTGTCCCTGTGGAAGTGAGTCTAGAAACAGTAACCTTAACTGGGATGCCATAGAGCGAGCTATAGAGTTAATCGAGGAGTTAATAATCAGTTGATATCATATTTTCTCAGTAGAGAATATTTTTTCGAATACCTATTTTATTTTGTAAAAATCCTACTTGGGTAGAGGTCGAATAGACTAATCTGTAAACTGTAGTAATTCTTTTCACAATCAGGAAACTTCTGGTTGAAATTTCCATTGATTGAGGTGTAAGACCCAAAAAATGTCAGGTGATGTTAAGCTACTGATTACTTTGAAACTTTTGAAAGATTCTTCAATTTGTAATGCCTGACCCTTAGGCCTAAACCAAGGCCTTAACTCCTAATCTAAATAAGAAGTCAATTATTGTATTCTTTTTCTCTTATAGGTACTTACCCTCGTACCTACCCATTGTTCTTGTTTTTCCCATTTGTTTTTTCTTTTTAATTTTTCTTTGCATTTCTCAGTTTCTTTTTTTCCCCATTGCTATTTTTTGTATGCAATTTTCCCGGGGTTGGCATACACCTGTGTGTATTTACCCATTTCAAAAATCCAGTGGGCTTTGGGCTTTCTGTGTCAGAAACCCACTCATACAGAAATATTAGGTCTGTTTGTTATCCTCCACTAGTGCCACAGCCCTCTACACTTACAAGCCATGAAGTTAAAAAGGCAACACCGCAATCTTACCGCCAAGTGGTGCTGTTTTATTTAACCTCAATTCCGCGTATGGTTTATTTACTTTTATTGATGATATGAATTCTTATCTCAATTACATAAAAAAGTAGTTTTCTTTGAAAAAATATTAGTAGTTAGTAAAATTATTGTAATATTACCAATATTTTGTACATATTAATCACACAAAATGCATCATATTGTACTAAAAAGTAAAAACAGTAATTCAATGAATAATATAAATATTTGTGTAAATAAGAACAGTAAATAATTGATTTAAATAAATATATTACTAGATTCTAAAGTGTTATAATCCTATATCTATTTTATATGTACAAGGTCTTGTCAAACAATTCTATACAACTAGCAACTACCTATCATGTTAAAAAAATAAATACATTCTAAGAATTCGGGAAAGCTACCCTTAAAACATACCTCTATTATTATTTTTAGTACCTAGGTACATTTTTTTTCTATTTCAAAGTGGTTAGTTTTCTTTTTTTACTTGAATCTGTTTTATTTTTATGACATTCACTATTTTTAAATTTTGTGTAGTTGTTTAAAATAATATTACTCATTATCAAAGAAGCAAAGGAGTAAATTTTTTTTGAGTTAGCACCACATTCACAAATTTTGTTCAAATCAATATTAAAGGTATCGGACTCTAAAGCTAATAAAGTAAGCTGCGATAATAAATTATGATGATCATTTGTTTTCAGGAACATACTTTCAAGATCTTTGTTATTAATTATATACTCGAAGATAGCACAAAGATGAAAATAAATAAACTTGGTTTCTTGAGTGGCAATACAGAGACCCCCTCTCTGCAGAGAATTAAAACATGTATGATCCGTCTGGATGCCTTTTGCTAGAACTACTAAACTTTGACATTTATCACATTTATTATTCTTCAAAACTGATCGAGCCACGTATCCACAGATGTATTCCTGCACAGAGTCATCAAAATTACTGTACAATTTTAAATAATCACTATGCAGAACAAATTTGAAATTGTTAATTTCCTGCAAACTTACACACATAACATCAAAATGTTTCGCACACACTACAGAATTTTTTGTTACCGTATAATTATCTCGGTGTATAGCTTTTAGCCATAATTTCTGTAATTCGGAAGTTTTTGGAAATGAAAATGTTGTTTGCAGTTCCTCAGTCTTCAGGGAACTCCTATAGTTGGATTTGCACCTCGGCACACAGCAGTTTCATAGCATCTGGAACAAGTTTAAATATCTTAGATAATAATAATATCGAGACCTATACATGTGCTCTTGCACTTTGCAAAGTGGAAACAAATATTATATTGTTTTTATTTGCTTTTACCTTTACTCACCTTAATTTTTGCTCCTGTACCGATTGCAGTATTTGCTATAAATTCACAATCAAAACACAACTAATAATGGCATAACAGGTATGAACCAAATATAAACAGTAAGTAATAGTATATTACAATCCGAGACGGAAAATACTTCATTGCTGGTCGAGAGGTTATTATAGTTTATCGAGACGCGAAGCGTCGAGATAAACTCAACCTCGAGACAGAAATGAAGTTTTCCGTCGAGGTTTGTATACTTTTTTATTTTCAACCCTTAATTTTCTGATGCAAAAACTAAAGATTCTGTTATACGAAATTTTCATATAGTGTAAAACTGGCCTTAGAAAAAAATATTTCACTTTTTTTGTCAATGTCATCAATTTTGACGATCTCAAAGGCCCTGTAAAGGCCAAAACAAAAGACGAAACCACAGGAAACCGCAAAATCAACAACCATAGATAAGATCAACAACGCCTTAACGACGGTAGTTTTCGCTCAGTATTTTTGCGGAAATAATAGATTTTCACTAGATTTCTCCCCGTTCTCCCCAAAGAAATGATTTCGGAAAGTGAAGATGAAGCGATGGATTGTACCCCACCTGAATTAAAAGAAGCAGCAGACAGGATTGGAGAGAGTTTGCTTCCAGCAAAAAGCAAATTTCGGTACGAAAAGGCTTTTCAAATATTCGAAGCATGGTGTAGCCAGAAAGGAACGAGAAATACTGCCTCGGAGACCGTTTTGTTGGCGTATTTTGGCGAATTATCTAAGGAAAAGAAGCCTTCGACTTTATGGTCGACTTACAGTATGTTGAAAACCATGATTAAATTGAAAGAGAAAGTTGATATCTCCAATTACGCAAAACTTATAGCTTTTTTGAAGCGGCAAAATCTGGGCTTTCAGCCGAAAAAGTCGAGCGTTTTTTCCAGAGAAAACATTAACGAGTTCCTCACGAAGGCAGCTGAAGAATTCATTAGCATCAAGGTAGGTTTTCAAAAAATATACAAAGAAGATAAAAATGCGAAAATCAAAATGATTTTCTGTATGCTATAGCTAGGTTACCCATTTTATTTTTATCTGGTTTCAGGTAGCGCTAATTGTTGGTGTGTCGGGTGCATGTAGGAGCGATGAACTAGTCAAGATGAAAATGGAGCACGTCAACGTTTTGGAAGGAAAGATCGCTATAGAAATTCCACACACAAAAACTTACACAAGTCGATCGTTTATCATAAGCGATCCAGATTGGGTTGCTATTTTCCACAAATACCTCACTTTGCGGAAAAATTTGAAAAATGACAGGTTATTTGTTCAATGGCGAAATGGGAAATTACATAACCAAGCAATTGGCTATCATTCAATCTCAAAATTTCCACATAAAATAGCTGCTTTTTTGAAGCTTCCAAAAATTGAAACTTTTACAGGGCATGCTTTTCGTCGTACTTCCGCAACCTTATTGGTTGACAACGGGGCCGATCTATTGCAACTCAAAAGACTGGGAGGGTGGAAATCGAGCACGGTTGCTGAAGGCTACATAGAGGCATCTTTGGAGAACAAAAGTAAGACTGCTCTGATGCTATCCTCTACTTCCAAAGGTATTCAGTTGTCCAGTGCATCCACAAGTACATCACATGCGGAAACTCATCCGCAAGCGCAAGAGATAATAGTTCCAAACGAAACACAATTCCAACAGGATGGTCTCAAGATTTCCATTATAAACAACAATGCTAATTTAACAATTAATGTAAATAAGTGAATAGATTTAATTAGTTCCATGTAATACATGTGGTTTTATTATTATATGTGAGAGCTGTATGAAAATTATCAATTTGGAACGAGCAGGGAAATGGGGACGGAAAAGCATTTGCCGTCCCGGACGGAAATAGTTATTTTCCTAACAAGTGCGCAAAGTGTTACTTTTCCGCACGCAAACACAGTTATACGAACGACGCGAAGCGGAGTTCGGATACGTGTTTGCGTGCGGAAAAGACACTTTGCGCACGTGTTAGGAACAAAATTTTTCCTACGAGCTTCATATCAGGTAGGTAATAACAAAAATTTAAAAAAAAAAAACGATAATTTGTTTAATTATTTTTAATTAACTTGAATGGAACCTATGCATATAATAACAGAAAATCCTCGTCAAAGCTGTTCATCTTAAAGCGTTTAAATTTGATGAGAAAGTTTGTAGATTTTTGCATGTAAATAGAGAACAAATCTGACAATGTGTCAAATTAATTTATATTTGGTGTTTGTATAGATGTTGGCTGATATAGAAACAGAGAAAAAATTTGTCATCATGTGTCAAGTCGACAGGTACATTTATTGTTGCTTGACAATTATAATTACTTTTCGGCACTCAGTGCGGATAAGGCCTGTATCCGCACTGAGTGCGGAAAAGTGTAACTTTGAGCCCGGAAATGCGTGCGGAAAAGTACTACTTTGCGCACACTCGTAGGAAAATGCTTTTTCCTACAATGCACCTGTCGACTTTGACATATGATGACAAATTTGTTCTCTGTTTCTATATCAGCCAACATCTATACAAACACTGAATATAATCTGACACATTGTCAGATTTGTGTTCCCATTTACATGCAAGAATCTACAAACTTCTTTCGCATCAAATTTAAACGCTTGAAGATGAACAGCTCTGACGAGGATTTCAATTTTCTGTTTTTCTGTTATGTAATTTTTTGATGAATGAATAGGTTCGCTTCAAGTTAATTGAAAATAATTGCACAAATTATCGTTTTTTTTTTAAATTTTTGTTGTTACCTACCTGA